ATTAAAAATTAATTTTACACAAATTTCTTTACACATTATTCTTTCACAATGCAGTCATTTTGACTGCTTTTGGGCAATATAGGTATATACTAAGTTTCAGTCTTTCTAGTGTTAAATATTTCTTTAACTTTTATTGCATCGAATACGTTTGTTGAGATGAACAAATCAGAGTCGCCGGGCGAATTCCGCGAATCTCGTAAAATTATTTTCGCCGGCCAGACATTTTGCGAAACTAAATTTCGCCAGAACACGCGCCGCATAAAACTTCAAATACAAACGGTTTAATGGAACTTCGTCCAAGCAACATCCGATATTGTATTGCTGAACAGCAACGAGATCTTTCGGACTACGTGGAACGCAGCGATACACGTAATCCGACGATCGTTCCAGAAACTGCGGCCGTAAAAGCGACTTAATCAGCGACGCGAGCCGATCGAAAGGGTTGTCACGCGTTTCGCGTGATCCCGACGCGATCGAATGGAGGTCACCGCGTTTACGAGTGCGGGAATAAAACGAGAGAGGAAAGTAGGCTAGGCGGGCGAACTTTTACGAGTCCGTCTTTCAAGATTCTACGACGAAGTAACGGAAGAGCGTATAGGGGCATTCGGAACGATTCCTTTATGGCGCAACGGCCATCACAGGATTGCTATTGTATACCGTTGTCGCGCTTTCGAAACCGTCCCGCGAATATTATGACCACCATATTCCCCTATTTTATAACGTTTCCCAGGGATCTTTCACCGCCCTTTTGTACTCCGATCGTTCGAATTTTTATACCTCTACGTTTTTCCGACATTTTATAGTAAACTTCGAACGGCTACACTGTTACGTTGGGCTTCGGCGCGGGACACTGTGTTTACGGGAACGGTTTCACGTAAATTTCGGTTCCTATTTACAGTTACGCGGCATGCTGCGATTTCCTGCAGAACAACAATCTGCTGAGTATCCTAAGGGCGCACGAGGCACAGGACAATGGTTACCGCATGTACCGGAAATCGCAGCTGACGGGCTTCCCATCGCTGATCACCATCTTCAGTGCGCCCAACTATCTCGACGTTTACAATAACAAGGTCAGAGATCCGTATAAAATATTGGGTTGTCCGGAAAGTTCGTGCCGATATTTTAGGACAATTAAAACGCAACTCATTTAAATATCGTGTATGGTTGATTTTGATTGATTTAGCATTCGTGCTAATTAACGTAATGTCGAGCGTGGGTTGTTCTCGATTTCTGTTCTAATCATATCTTCGTCTGTGGTGGACGGCCTACCTGGGCGTTCTTGATCTTCCAGGTCGGAATTTCCAGCTTTAAACCGAGCAAACCACTTTCGCCCAGTTCTTTCGGTTACAGCATCCTCGCCATAAACAGCGCATATCTTATTTGCCGCTTGTGTGGCATTTTTGCCCATTCGGAAAAAGAAAAGCATTAAATGCCTATATTGCACTTCATTTGCCACCATATTCTAAGGCGTACAAAACTGATAAAAATTAACGAATCGTAACCAAACTTTTTTCCAAACATGACTGAAGCTATCTCTTTCAGAATATGTACACATGTCATTTGTTTTCAATAATTGTGATATATTCAATCAGGTCTCTCGCGCTACCTACCGAAAATCGGCACGAACTTTCCGGACAACCTAATATCTCTCTCGTTTTTCTCTGTGATCGTAGCAAACGTGATTGCGTCTTATAAGAGTAAATGATGTAATGATAGAAGTAAATTGGATAGTCGGAAAAGTGTTAAGAGATTGTTGTCACTACATGTTGTTTAGCGTCATATATCGGGCAACAGAAACTCAGAGAGGTGACATTTCAGTCTACAATTTTTATGAAGACAGTCTTGTATTTCGTCAATCGTGTCAAAAGTAATTTTAGTGTAAAAATTAGTGAAATGTTTTGCAATTTTAAAAGGCAAAAACGCTGCACAAACCCGGGATAAAATTTGTATTGTTTAGGACGATCATTATCAAAAGTAATAACATGTTTCCTCTTTTGGAAATTTCGATATTAAAGATGCACCTCGCTCTGGTCGACGAATAACTGAGTTCTATTACAGAAACCGTATGTATTATGGCCTTTTTCCGCTTTATATGACCTTCAATGCCTTTGTGTTATAGGTCGTTGAATTCGTTTTAAGATTCTCTATCATGATACGGAAGCAAAAATATACCGATCTATTTAAAAAATTGGCGGTGTCCTTAGCGTAGCTTCAGCGCCTCCACCAGTAAAAAATTAAACTGCGCCAATATGGCGGCCCTCTCAAACACTGAAACTTTTGTATGAAACATTTTTTCGTACGACGAACACCTTACGAGTTATTTGAGATCGTCATGTTAGGAGACTCACCCTGTATACTTGAATAAAAGAGACTTTTAATCAATAAATTAC